AACGTTCAGTGTAATTATCTCAGGACTAGTAGCCCTTACAAAGAATTACCCCACGTTAGTGATTTGCAATGCATCACACACATACCAGGAAAAAAATTAAACTAATTCTCTCACTAATGTGTATAACTATGAAGTAAACTAAAAAGGGGGGAGGAATATTATGGTCATTAGGAAGAGCAAGGGTATTGTTTATTTATTATTTTTTAACTGCATTTATATAGCCACCCCATAAAAGGAATTTTATTAGATGCTTGCAAAAAATAAAGCACATATATCACTGAAAGGGTCAGTCTGTAAATTGTATGTTATTTAAAAGAAAGGTTTTCACCTGGCACCTACAAGACCATAAAGCAGGCATAGGCAAACTCGGCCCTCCAGATGTTTTGCGACTACAACTTCCATCATCCCTAGCTAACAGGAACAGTGGTCAGGGGTGATGGGAATTGTAGTCCCAAAACATCTGGAAGGCCGAGTTTGCCTATGCCTGCCATAAAGGTTGTGATGGTTGAACATATCTGCTAGTACTAGTTCGTAAGCAGAAGGTCAAGATGGCTGAAAAAGAACAGAATCAAGGTGCTGCAATGGCAAAGGCAAAGTCCATACCTCAACCCAAGTGAAATGCTGTGCATTTCAGAGAGCTGTGCATAAACAGATGCCAGCAAACCTCAATGAACTGAAGCAACATTAAAAAATTAAGAAATTGTCCAGTAGCACCTTAAAGGTAAAGGTACCCCTGCCTGTACGGGCCAGTCGTGTCCGACTCTAGGGTTGTGCGCTCATCTCACTTAAGAGGCCGGGAACCAGCGCTGTCCGAAGACACTTCCGGGTCACGTGGCCAGCGTGACGAAGCTGCTCTGGCGAGCCAGCACCAGCGCCGCACACAGAAACGCCGTTTACCTTCCCGCTATAAAGCGGTACCTATTTATCTACTTGTACTTATGGGTGCTTTCGAACTGCTAGGTGGGCAGGAGCTGGGACCGAAAGACGGGAGCTCACCCCGCCGCGGGGATTCGAACCGCCGACCATACGATCGGCAAGTCCTAGGCACTGAGGTTTTACCCACAGCGCCACCCATGTCTCCAGCCGCGTCTGCACATGAAAGCTTATACCAAGAAAAAACTTAGTTGGTCTCTGAGGTGGTACTACACGATTTTTTTTAATTTTTTTCTATACAGTGGTACCTCGGGTTACAGATGCTTCAGGTTACATACGCTTCAGGTTACAGACCCAGAAATATTACCTCGGGTTAAGAACTTTGCTTCAGGATGAGAACAGAAATCGTGCGGCAGTGGCGTGGTGGCAGCAGGAGGCCCCATTAGCTAAAGTTGGTGCTTCAGGTTAAGAACAGTTTCAGGTTAAGAACAGTTTGAGGTTAAGAACAGACCTCTGGAATGAATTAAGTTCTTAACCTGAAGTAAAGGGTAAAGGGACCCCTGACCATTAGGTCCAGTCGTGACCGACTCTGGGGTTGAGGCGCTCATCTTTTAACCTAAAGTGGTGCTTCAGGTTAAGAACATTTTCAGGTTAAGTACTTAATCCGGGACGAATTAAGTACTTAATCCGAGGTACCACTGTATTTCGACTGTATCAGTCCAGCACGGCTACCTACCTGAATCTGAAGCAACATTGTAAAAAAGAATGGGCCAAAATTCATCCACAACAATGTGAGAGACATATAAAGTCCTACAGAAAACAACTACTTCAAGTTATTGCTGCTAAAGGTGATTCTACAAGCTATTGAAACATAAGGTGCACTTAGTTCTTCACACTTGGACTTTCCATTTTGGCCTTATTTCTGTTAAATACGTCATGAGACGGTGTAATATGTCATATGTTGTTGTTCATCTGGGGTTGTATATCCCTAATTTGAAGACCTGCTAAGGAACAGATAATTGTTATTATGTCTTCCTATGTAAAACCACAAAATTCCAGGAGGGTGCACTTTGTTTTTCCATGACTGTAGCTCAGTTCTGTGTAGATAGCAGCAAACAAGGCTTACATTCTGGAATCGCAGAGATAAATGTAGTCTGTCTTCCCTAATATAGGAGTAGCAAAGTTCTGTGAAAAGGGTATTCTCACAACCTGCCAATAGGTAGGGTTTAGTTGGCTCTGTTCATGAGTGTTAACTGCTTTATGTGCAATATCTCAAGCTGCATGTTGGCTATAGTTGTCCAGTTTTTCTAGTTATGGGGTTAATTTGCAACATATGACTCCTGCATCTCAGTATTTCGCCTGTTGTGGACTTAAGATCATGACTGAATGGAATTTAGTCACTGATACGTACTTACAATGAGAAATAGCACATAAAAGGTAAAGGTAAAGGGACCCCTGACCATTAGGTCCAGTCGTGACCGACTCTGGGGTTGTGGCGCTTCCCGCCAGAGCGGTACCTATTGATCTACTTGCACTTGATGTGCTTTCCAACTGCTAGGTTGGCAGGAGCAGGGACTGAGCAATGGGAGCTCACCCCGTCGCAGGGATTCGAACCGCTGACCTTCTGATCGGCAAGTCCTAGGCTCTGTGGTTTAACCCACAGTGCCACCTGCGTCCCAATAGCACATAGTATGATCTAATTAATGTTGATAGGTCAGAATATTGATCTAGCCCAGTACTGTCTACTCTGACTAGCTGCAGCTGCCTAGTGTTTTAGGCAGAGTGAGGTCTTCATAATCAGCTGCTTCTCTATGAGAGAGAGAGAATGCATGGGATTTCATGCACTGAAAGCATGTGCCCTGCCACAGTTACCCTGCTGTCTTGAGTTCTAATTGTGACTGATTACAAGTAATGGACCATCTAATGAACATTGTTCAGTTCTAAGCTGTCCAAAATGGGAAAGTGTCGGTTGCTGGAAATAATTCACATACTATACCGCAAAAGACAGAATGAGGATGTGAAAGCCGAATATTTTTCCACCGGAATTCAGGCAGGTTGCTGACATTTTAGAATCTGAAGAAGAATGTTTGCACTCTAAATATTACTATGAAATCCATAGCTGTGATCCATAGTGCTACTTGACATGCACTCTCTGTGCGTTTTAACATTTCTCCTTTGAAGAGCAAACCCACATGTCTTATCACAAACGGCTTTAGACGTTCTTCATCATTTCAGGATGAAGCTTGCATGAGACACAGGGAGTCAGAAAAGCAAGCCTTCATGCAAAACAAGTTCTGTGGGATTTTTTTATCCAGGTCCTGTATGTATCTCAGCCGGACCCCATAGTCGCCTTTGACTGGACTTAACCGTCCAGGGTTCCTTTACCTTTTTACCTTTTATGTATGTATGCAATGTATTTATATCAAAAGGTATAGAGGCAGTTTCTACACACAATAATTTTATCAACACTAAATTAAAACAACATAGAACATGGATCATATTAAAAGGTTGCATCTGCCACTCAATAGTTGAACTGGTGCTTTGAATTGGTGCAGCTTTCTATCAATAGGTTTGGGATCAAGGCGTAAATAAATGTCTATTCTAGCTGCCAAAATTAGTCTCAACTTTTTCATTAATGTCTAATTCATGAATTGATTAAGGTAAAGGTAAAGGTAGCCCTGCCCGTACGGGCCAGTCTTGCCAGACTCTAGGGTTGTGCGCTCATCTCACTCTATAGGCTGGGAGCCAGCGCTGTCCGCAGACACTTCCGGGTCACGTGGCCAGCGTGACAAGCTGCATCTGGCGAGCCAGCGCAGCATATGGAACGCCGTTTACCTTCCCCCTGGTAAGCGGTCCCTATTTATCTACTTGCACCCGGAGGTGCTTTCGAACTGCTAGGTTGGCAGGCGCTGGGACCGAACGACGGGAGCTCACCCCGCTGTGGGGATTCAAACTGCCGACCATGCGATCGGCAAGTCCTAGGCGCTGAGGTTTTACCCACAGCGCCACCCGCGTCCCTCAATTGATTACATATTGGTAAAACATTATCTTATCAGCTAAAATGTATGGCGCGTCCGATTCATTTTCTTTTCTTTTGTCCTTTCCTTTGATTTTGCTTGCTTCAATACTCTGGAGTTATTTTCTCGGCAGGCAACTTGCTGCAGTACACCTGCTCGCTGCTTTTAGCAGACTGTTGTCTGGTTTGTTTAGACTGCCTGGACAGCCTTTCGGCTTTCCCCCCCTGCTTCCGTGATTTAATTCTGAAATCTCTCACTTTCCCTCTCTCTATTATTTTGATAGTATTAGCAGAAACCATTTAGAATTCTGAATAAGATTAATAAAACGCAGTGGATTAGTTTGAGGAGCTTTAACATAGATAATTTGAAAAATGTGTATACATAACAGTTCTACTTCAAAAGTTGACTTTGTAAACTTATTGCAAAGAAGCTGTGTAGGTAATTAAATATTTGCCTTGGGGAATTATTTGCAGTTAATTAAAATCACAAACTTTCAATGCATACCTGCTTTACAGATTATTAAATTTGGATCAGATGTTAACTGCCCAGGTTTCTCACATATCCCGCATTGATTGTTTTTGGCAGGTTTAGGACGCTGATTCTTTGGCCCGCTGCCCACCACTGGATAAAATTTCATAAACCACAAGTTTATGAAAGTGACGTTTCAGAGTTTGATATACCTGCGGACCTGCACTGCCCAGTTTATTCGCACTGGAAACAGCTGAGTGATCGGCACACTGCTCAGATGTTGTCAGCAGCAGCCAACTGGGGGAGTTTGGCATGATGGGATTGCTGAGATCCCATCATGCACTTCTTCCCCCTGCCCATCCAATTAGTGCTGGAAATATCTAAAAAGACTGCAGAACCAACCAACCAACTTGCACACCCCATATTTGTTCCTATCACCAATTCACTGGGCAGCAAGGAGGTGCAATAGGATATTAATGCACCAGGAGAGTTAGCCATCCCCATGTGCTCAGTTGGGGTAAGAAGTGTGTGTGAACTTGTGTGGGGAGGAGGCTGTGTTGACCTTTGGATTCATCAGAAGCTCGGTTTAAAGCTTGTTCAACAGAGAATCCACTTCAGTTTTATTTATTTTATTTTTATTAGAATCCTCCCAAGATGCCAAAGCTACAGAAGAACATAACCCAATGCCTCATGCAGTCTGTGAACAAGATCAAGCTGACGGTATGCTTTCGATCAAAATATTCCCCAGAATCCTAGTAATTGATCAGATGGGACCATAGAAGTTTTCCTAGCTATAAAAGTCAAGTTTTCCCTCACATGGTTATTGATGCCTCGGGGAAACATCCATAAACTTCAATGAATAGCTGCTGCAACCATTCAATTTGAGTAGCATAATCTCTAATGTAAGCAAAAAAGAAACAGGCCTTCCAGTTAAATTGTTATAACAATATTGATCCAAGGTCATAACGTAACCTCATTGAGTCTTGAGAAGATAATGACTGTAGTTTTCTTTATTTTTTAATAATGCAAGTGTCATTTATTCATTACTGCTTAATAGAATGAATTCTTTACTGGAGAATTTTAGATTATTATTATTATTGATAGCTGATTGGAACTTGGCATCATTCAATATGATCATTATTCTCAATCACAGAAATTCTGAATTTCACTTAGATATGTTCTGATAAGTGGTATGCTTTTCCATTTCTTTTCTGTTTTAATGATTAGTTTTGATTATAAATTGTAGGCGCACTTGAGTATCATATTGGTATAATCTTCCAATCTTTATGATGTCAACAGGACACCAAGAGGAATCCACAGAAGTTGAAATGAACACTCAGACAGAATCTCAAGTCATGGAAGCAGAAGGTACTTTCTGTATTTAAGAATGTGAGCAAGATGGGGAAAAACATTCCAAAATGATAAAGGCTACATTTAAATTTTTTTAAAACAAGTTTATTGTACATTTTTGCAACAAACATCTGTTTCTTCAGTTGTCTGGTACCGAATGAGAACAGGAAATAATTAATATCCCAATGACATCTAAGTGAGAGGCTTGAAAGCTGATGTATTCTTCTTGCTAAACCTGTGGATGTTGTTACAGCTTTGTGCTAGATGATTTGGACCTTACTCTGCCATTTCTTTATTCTCACATATCATGTTATATGCTAGTTACCTTGAAATTAAGTATTTTTCTCCTGGAATATTTCTCAGCCTAACTAAACAACGATCTTGAAGAACTTGCATTAAAAACTCAAGTCAGCAGTTTCAATGTGACTTACTTTCACAGTTTATGTTCAATATGTTGGCTTTATTTCGCTGAGGGTTCTCTTGAATTCACTAGATTGACAATGTCCGATGAAAAACTGCTGCCTAGGTTAAACGAGAACTACATGGTGGGCATATATATCATTTTCGATGATAATATTTTATTATTTATACCCTATCCATCTGGCTGGGCTTCCCCAGCCACTCTGGGCGGCTTCCAGCAGAATATAAAATGACTCCACTAGTGGTCTCTTTGCGTTTCTTATGGTCTGTATTCTCTGTGTTTCGTTCTGTTCAGAGACTTTGATAACCCAGGAGGAGACCATACAAGAAGAGAAACCACAGGCACCCGAGGTAGACAGAACTAATCAAGAAAACAAAGGGGAAGAAAAAGGTAAGCTAGTAAATTCTACTAAGACAAGTGAGACCCTACAAGAAAATGTTGCTGTGTTGAGTGCGTCTCCATTTCATTAGTTGACAATTCCCTCCACCCCACCCCCAAATCCTTAAACGTTTTATGCTATTGTGTTATGGGGTTGTTTTGGTGTCTCTCCCCCCCCCCTCCACTATTTTAGTATTTTGGTGTAAAGGTAAAGGACCCCTGACCATTAAGGTCCAGTCGTGGCCGACTCTGGGATTGTGGTGCTCATCTCGCTTTATTGGCCGAGGGAGCCGGCGTACAGCTTCTGGGTCATGTGGCCAGCATGACTAAGCCGCTTCTGGCGAACCAGAGCAGCGCATGGAAACTCCGTTTACCTTCCTGCCAGAGCAGTACCTATTTATCTACTTGCACTTTGATGTGCTTTTGAACTGCTAGGTTGGCAGGAGCAGGGACCGAGCAACGGGAGCTCACCCCGTCACGGGGATTCAAACTGCCGGCCTTCTGATCGGCATGTCCTAGGCTCTGTGGTTTAACCCACAGCGCCACCCGCATCCCTCATGATTAATCCTAAATCTAGTACTGTGCTGTTTTGTGTGTCTTGGTTTTTTGCTTTTGAATACTTGATACAAGTTCTATGTGTCCATGCGCCCTTGAAAACTAGGTTGATAAATATGCCCCCCCCCCACTTTCTGTCTACTTTTGACTTAGAGGGGTGTGGCAAAAACACAAAACCCAACTAGGATGATTTAGAAAAGGAAATTTCCCAGGTGGCATCAAAATGCCATAGGTAGACATTTGGCTTGGATCCATATTGTGTTCTGATTAGAATTATAGGTTATTCTTTTATCACTGGCCAAAGTGCTGGAGGACTGTTTATAGAGGCCTCTTTTTGTCAGCGTGACCCTAGTGACCAAGTATGCAGTGCCATCAACACCTGCACCCAGTCCTGGCACCTTCTTGCAGAGCTGACTGCAGTGTGACAATAGAAAGGCCCCACAATTCCCAGAAGGGTATTTGATGGTAGGGTCCAGGTTAACAAGTTCCTCCTGGTCAGATCAGTCCATAGCTAGGCCACTCTTTGTGTGTGTGGGGGGGGGGGAGAGAGAGATACACTCTAAAGACATGCTTGCTGAGTGGCTGTGGCAATGGACATATTTTCTTAGGGAGGGGACATGTTGTTACAGTCAAGCTAAAAGTGCTGTGGAAAATCAGGTTGTAAAAGGTAAAAAGCAAACACTGTTTTCAAATTTCATGCACCAAGACTCCCAGAAATGGTTGTGTTGGTCTGAGGTTCGATTTGCACTGTGTGAAACTTAACATAAAGTTCAATTTTCACATTTAGCATGTGGCTTCATTGTGCCCAGCTACCCATTTGCAATAGTCGTCTCTGGCATCATAATAGCATTCTCTAATCATGAAGGGCTAATAACAATGAGGCCTTCCTTTGTGAGAAGCAGAGATCAGATGTTTTGAAATTAAAACCTAGTTATGGTCTTTGTGGAAAATCCAGGTCAATGATAACTACATCTTCCTAATTATGAACTTCTTTTGTCAGCTCCATTGACACTGATTTAATTGCAAACCTGTTTGTAATATTGACACTTTTCTGTGGTGGAAGCTCGGGTTAATAGCACTTGCTTTTTCCTTTGCTCATATCCAGCTTCGTGGCATTTTCTTTTAATTTTTTTTTTTTGCATTGCAAATCCAAGTTGAGACGAATCACACCCTCTTTATTGTGCACAATGCTAATGGCCTCAGCGCTGTGTTTCATTACTGTCAGTGATAATAGAATTGATATAATCCTTCCTTCAAATCCAGGTAAATGGTGTGACTTCTCCTGCGTTTGCAAATCTAGGTTAGAAAACGCAGGCTTATTCTTGTTGCAAATGCCAAAACCATTATGCTAATTTCTTCTGAACAGAAATTATTTACATTTTATTTTATGCCTCATCAAAAGCAAGTTGAACCGAATCTACTTTCACTATTTGTACCTTTCCTTCTAATACTTTACTGTCCCCTGCAGCTGGTAAATTCCATTTGGCTCCCAGCGGATACATTATATTTCACCATCTGTTCTACCTAGGATTCAAATATATGTAGTATTAGAAAAGTTAATGTCAGGAAAGGGTGTGTTTTTTTAGCTTGGCATTTTTTCTTTCTAAAAATAAGAGACTATCAAGGTGCAGACTGATCCTGCGAGTCTACTTTATCTGCAGTAGCACAAACTCTGCTTTAAACTGCTGCAGGTAAAACAGCACATAATCCTTGGCAAGGGGGAAAAGGCACCTTTCTGAACCTTCATCAAGGAGACCTACCACCCTGTGCACTTAATCGCTGGTCAGTCAGATGCTATGTTTTGAAGCTGAAATTTGGGGGGCTTGGCTAGTTCCTACATTGACACTGGGGTTGGGATTGGGCAATAAGCAAAGATCTATCAGCGCTCAAACCCTGGATAGAGGCTTATAGGATGGAGCTGTGAAACTTAAATAAATCCCACTTCTGAGGATGCTGAGGGGGTTATTACTGCCTTTAGGGGATTAGGCATAGCTGATTTGTGAAAAATATGCCAGATTGACTTGGATTCAAAGTGTACTAGGTTCAGTGGAGAAGTTTAACTCTCTCAGGTTTGGCTTAATGGAACAAAACACATTTCATGCAAGCTTCTGTACATCTGATTATTGTCACAATGAACACTTACCTCAAATACTGAATACAGTTTAAAAAAACCAACTAGCTACAAGTCACAGGGAATCTATAAAAGGGTTAATTACTGGCTTCTGAGCATCAGGAATTTCAAGAATATCTTGAGTGCACTTATGTAAACATGTGGAGTTGCCTTGTACATAGGCAGTCCTGGTACATATACCAAGAAAAAAGCACACCAAGAACGCAGGCCAATGTAAGTTTCAATAGTGGGAGAGATCCCTACTCACAAGTCAGTAGTCAATAGTAACAAAAACTGATCCATTCAAAAGTATGTATTCTGACAAGAATTACAAACTCAAGTAGAGATTACAAACTCTAACAGAGATTACAAACTCAAACTCATATAGATATGTATAACACAATAATTAGTTACAAAGATTTTCTCTTCTTCACTCGACAACAATCTTGATCCTTATAATTTATCAGCTTGCAGATGGAGACTCAGTTTCAATCATAGAGCAGAAGTCAGAAGTCAGTTATGGATTAGAAGGCAGGACAGGGCCCTCTTTCGATGTATTCACCTTCATCAGCTAATTTTTAAAGGGTTGTGTAAGTTTGAAGACTTTCGGATAAATATATCCTGTTATTTTCTATGTTTCTCAGGGATAACAACTACGTGTGGGTAGATCAATGTGTATCTTGAGCTTTTCTGTGTGTGTGTGTGTGTGTGTGTGTGTTTTTATGTACCAGGCAGTCCTGGTAAATAGGCATATACCAAGCATGATGCTTTGGCTAGAAGTGGTCCAGGGTGTCAGACAGATATTTCAGCCTTTCTGCTTAAGTTACCTTCCTTGGAGTTGCTGGGTATTGAACCTGGGATGGGACCTTCTGGATACAAAACATGGGCTGCACCACTTGCTCTGGCCTTGTTCCCTCAAACCATTAGCCAGAGATCCTGTTTTGACTCCATACATGGCATGCAGCTAAGCTCCTTTTTGTTGGGAGCTGTCTAGAAACACTGCTAACATGCCCTATCAATTCATTCAAATGTGTCCCACACAAAGTGGACCCATGCAAGTCACTGGATGGTTAAACAATTGCATTGCGCGGTTGCTGAACTCAACCCAAAAACACATGTGAAACAGAAAATAAAACAAATGCTACTCTTTTTACAATTTTCTAAAAAAAAAATATTTCAGCATAGTGCTACTTGGAAGCAAGTCTCACTAAGGTCAGTGTGACTTACTTGTTTTGTAAACCTCCCAGAGGACTTTGTTGAACGGGTGGTTATTGAGGTGATGAAAATAAATAACTCACTGTCTAAATATGTTTAGGATTGCAGCCCTAATCTAATGGAGGATGCAGTTGGTTCAGGGAATATAATAAGGAGATTTACTTCAAGGAGAGTTGAATTAGGACAATTTGCTTGAGAAACATTTCCAAAATTAATTTAAGCTGTGGTGAAACTATTTCCTCCTCTTATTGGCCCAAGGCAGGGGACATGTACTAAGTCAAACCAACAAGATCTTCAAGAAAAGGCAGCTACTTCCACGTTAATTATTGTAAGTAAAATAATACCATTCTCACTAAAGTATCTTCTACAGAAATTTAAGAGCAGCTCCGCATTCACTTCAAGAAAAATGCTTTACACAAAAATCAGAAGCACTGGGATTGTATCCAAAATACTTTTCAGCTGTATCCCCTTCACTCATCTTTTCCATCTTCTCTTGGCAAAGCCTCAGGCAATTTAATTGCATCCATCCCTTTAAGTCTGCCACTCATTACGGATGGAAGAGAGGCAGTGGCGATGAGAAGGGATTCAAGAAACCATGGAATGAGACATAGATCTCTTTGGCTTCTGCACACTGATGATTCTGCAGCACGGAAAACCTCATTAACTCTCTTGAGTTGTCTCATTTGATCATTGACAAAAGCCTCTGTGAGACTTCCTAAATTTGGGCTTGAAGAGCACGTTCCCAACCTAGTACGATACAGGAAATCAAGGAACAGGCGGTGAATAATGCAAGGTTGTAGTGCTATAACTGGGTTGACCTGTGATTGGCCTTTAGGATGAGCACAGCCCCTGTATGGCTTGGAAGTGTGAGGAATGTCGACACCATTGTGTGGCATTTGAATGGATACGCAATAGGAAATCGCCTTGTGTGCAGAAGATCCCAGGTTGAATCCCTAAGATCTCCAGGTGGGACTGGGGGAAAACCCTTTCTGAAACTCTGGAGAGTCACAGCCAGTCAGGGTAGAAAACATGGACCAAAAGTCTGATTCCGTATAAGGCAGCTTTAAATGTTCAAAGTCCTCCATTTAGAAGCATCCTAAGAGGTGCCCCCAGGGCAGATAAACAAATAGCA